AGACATGAACCGATTAAATACTATTATATTAGAAACTAAACTGAGAAAAAAGTGTGAAAATTGCATAATCAAATAATTTATTCATCGTCTCCATTGTCAATATTAACTACACTAAATTCACAATCACGATCACGGTCACGGTTACGATCATGCGTGATCGTGATCGTGATCAAAAATATCAATCACGCAGTATACTAAAAACATTATATGTTTGTCCGGATCTGATCTTCAACTTCATGATATATTTAATATCAGATTCGTTCGGACTAGTCCAATATATCTCGCTAGAACGTGTCGTGTGATCGGTATCCAAGGCGCTTCTTTTTTTTCAGTTTGGGTGTGGGTGTGGGTCTCAGTTATTAATTTACCCCCACACCTACACCCTGTGCCAATGTTTTCTGTTCATGTCGATAGAGACTTCGAAAACGAGTATAAACACGTTCAGCCATAGCCGATAAATGTATGAGTAAATCAAGAAGAGTGTGGGTGTGGATTCGCGTTTAGATTTGTTCCTCTTGTATCGTCCACCACCACACCTACACTGCAGACCCACACTCTCACACCCCAAGATTTTCTTGTTCTAAATATTTTTCATTTTAAGAATGACGATCTCTTCTGAATGTTATGTTATGGTATTGGTGAAGCTGTTATTTCCTGTGAATTTTGCGGTGCATATGTTTGTGAAGAATGTTATATGCGTCATCTAGTTACATGTGGTCCATATGATGATAAACAAAAACTAGGTATAACAACAAAACCCAGTTAAGGTCAGCAGTTTATCTTCAAACTGAAGAACTGTCAGCGTTAAGCCCTTCGATGGAATCGTAAATAGTTAAAAGAAAGGACTACGAAAAGTTAACAATAAAACAATGCTTCCTCTCTATCTGTGAAAGTCGTGCTTATATTAATATCAAAATTGTTAGGAGATTTGTAGAATTTCAGGATTCACGTCATTTATCAAAATTTTATCCTAATTGTATTTTTAAGACTTCTATGCCGGATATTCAAAAAGGATTCAACGTAACAAGACGTTTTATTTAGTTCTTTTATTTTCTTTTTTCACATACTGTATTAGAATTTTAAATAAAATATTCTTAATTCACGTTCGATTTGAATAGACATAATAAGTTCTTCAATGTTTACCTTTCAAAACCCGATTTTTTGAATAGAATAATATATTTTCTTCTGCTCTTCGATTATCACAAGTTCAATCACTTTTATGAAAAATATTTTCAGAATTCGCATCGACTTCTTTTCCTATAATTCAGATAAAGTATGCAACAATTTTAGTATAAATATTTCATTGAAATTCTACTTCCGAAAGAAATATCTGTGAAATACTTGACTTTCAAAAAACAAACAAATCTTCACCATGCATGATAAGAACAAAATTATGATTTCATAGTAGGATTATAATGAGAATGAAAATATAGAATACTCAATCAATACTTTTTTTTTTCAAATGACCTTTGTTGAATAAACATAAATAAAGCGCCGTCTTTACATTCATAGTCAACTTAGATTATAGAAAGATGAATCTTTGTTTTCATGGACGATATCAATCCATTAGATGAAAGAAATGTGTACATATAAATACCTCTATGTCGAAGTTACAAAATCTTATATAGAAGTGAAAACAAAACATGGAACATTCAATGATTCAATTGGATGATTTACCTGATGAAATTCTTATGATGATTTTAAAAAAAATGTGCCAAGTTGATGTACTCTATTCTTTAATAGATGTTAATCAACGATTTAATATAATTGTACATGATTCGATTTTCACTAATCATTTGATATTACTGGAACATTTATCGGATGGTTTCATATGTTCATTAACTGATTCAATACTTGATCATTTTTGTTCACAAATTTTACCTAAAATTAATCATAAAATCAAACGACTTGATCTCGAATCATCATCTATGCAACGTATTCTTTTAGCTACAAATTATCCTAGTTTACATGAACTTTCTTTATATAATATTAACCTCAACACATTTATACAATACTTTTTTGGTAAGATATATTATTTTGATTTCAAACAAATAAGACATAGTGTTATATACAAAGAAATGATTTCGGATGAGAATAAAGTTTTGAGATTAATTTATATCTTATAACTTTATTATTTGTGTTTAGAAGAAAATGCATTAACTGATCTATTTAAAAATAAAATTTTATCACTTACTTTTAATATGAATGTAAATAAAAAGAACAATGATAGAGAATTTTTCAATGCAATTATATTTCAACGTATTATTAAAACTTTTACCAATATACAATATTTAAATTTTTGTCCATCTTCAACTTGGTATTCAAGGATATCGTTTGAAATTTTTATTGAAAATTTAGCCTCTTCAACTCTCTTAGAATTGCATGTTACTCTCACGAATTTCGATAATTGTCTTTATTTACTCGATGGACGGTTCAATCAACTCCATACACTTTATATTAATGTTGCTGATATTCAATCTTCACAACAAACAATCCGTAATATGGTAAATTATTTTAATTAAATATCTAATTTATACAAATGAAATGAAATTTGTTCTATTTTCTAGGAAAATTTACCTAATTTAAAATGTTTTTCTTTATATTCTAACGTAATGACAAGTGCTTATGATGAATTAGTTGTTCCACTTCTAAATCGAATGTTCAATTTAGAAGAACTTGGTTTATATATTAAACTTCGTGATAAGAATACATTTATTGATGGGAATAATTTGAAAAAAAATATTCTCAATAATATGTCACGATTAAAAAAACTTCAATTTTATATTCGTTCAACTACTATTGTTCTTAATCAACTTAATATACCATCAAATGAAGATATTCAATATACATTCAAAGATTTTTATAATAATCATATTATTTCATATGTTGATTATTTTACAGATACTCAACGAGGTCAATGTCATGTTTATTCATATCCTTATACAATGAATGAATATTATAAAATAACCAATAATTTTCCAGGAGGATTATATAAATCTGTTACTAAAATATCATTATATGATGAGCGACCATTTGAATATAAATTTTTTCTTCAAATTGCTCAATCATTTCCATTTTTGAAAAAACTAATTTTAGAAAATATGAAACCTCAAAATGATAAAAAACAAAATTTACCAATTATTGAATATCCTCATCTTATCATACTTGATCTTACTGAAGCTCATTTAGATTATATCGAACTATTTCTACTTGATACTAAAATGCGTTTATCAAATGATATTTCTCTTATTGTCATTTATCAAGCACTAAGAAAAGTAACAGAAAAATTTACAAAAAATTCTACAAGAACCAATGGTGAAAAATTACATCGTTTAAGTTTACTTGGTAAATATCGAATTCCTAAATATGTAAAAGAATATTTTCCTCATACAGAAATATTAAATCATTAATTGTCATCAATCATTTTTGTAAATAAAATATAATGAAAACTAAATGGTTAGGAAATAAACAGGCTGAAGGATGATAATAAAATATCAAAAAAAAACATTGTCACAAACACGAAGAATTATCTAAATCAGAAAAAGTTTACAGTTTTTATGTATCAAAGTTATTTCAAATGTAAATAAAACTGTGTGCATGCCTTTTGGAGTATGGCCGTGGGATCAAATTAGTAAGCAGATATTCAGGAGAGTATGTATCAGTGTTAATTGTGATTTTTAATGTATCATGTTCGAGAAAGAATCTTATGATATGCAGATAGTTTGTCGTGCTGTGTAGATCGTCAATACATTAAAATGGAATGTATTTTGAATTTACTGGGTACCTGTATATAAACATGTCTTATGAAAGTTACACTCCGTCAATTTGGTTACAACTTTGTCTTTGCATTTTGTCGAATTACTTCTTTTCACTTGTTAATGAATGACTTCGTTAACTGAATGTTCTACTTCGGAATAAATGGTTGAAAAGAACTTTTGGGTGTGGGTTTAGAAGATGACACCCGCACGCACATGAAAGTTCTTAGAAAAGTTCTATTATAACGACTAATTGTGAAATAAAAAGTATATAATTTTGCTCAGTTTTGGGTGCTCTTTCTATCGGTATACTTGAAAGTCAAAATATATGAAAAATTTATCTGTAGTCATTAATTAATTAAATTTATTAATTAATAATATTAAATTATTGTAACTAATCATTAAGGAAACATTTTTTATATCAATATGCAGCCGTTCAATTCTGCATCTAATAGTATATTTTTAAAGATTTCTTCTACTTTCAATAACGAGAAAATCGACGAAATACAAAAAGTGTCTTAAACTTTTGCCTATTGGAGAAAAATTGCAGTTACTTCTGTTTCTTCATTCAACAATCAATTAGATCAAGGATTGATAGTTTATGTAGATCTTGCCTCTGACTACATATGCCACTTAAAAAATGTCTCTTAATTTCTTTCTTTTAAAAAAAAACATAAAAGTCAAATGTGTGTTAAAATTTTTGCCGCCCACTTTAGGTGTTTGTGGCGCTGAGCATTTGAAAGGTTTCTGGTGGCCATATGGTGCGAAAAACAACAAAGAATGTTGAAAAACAAATATATGATGGCACTATTTGTGACAGATAAATTACTCTTTCATGCTAGATTTCGCTCATTTTCGGCAGCTTTTCTATGGAAACAATTGATCATTTTTGGAACACGAATATGGTTTTGTTCGATATATCGTCAGATCTATTTATTCATCATTTTTTACTTTATTCTCTAGAACTACAACAAGGAAGTAGTTGATATATTCTTATGAGATTCTAGTGACATATAATCGTAAATCGTGTATCAAAAGGTCAGCCAAGGTCTGTGATGGTCTCTGGAGCCCCTCTGTCACGATCTCTGATCCGTATGGATTTTCTCCGTCACGGTCTGGGGGGGGGTCCAAATTTTTACCCTATATACTTCAACACTCCTTTCAGCTCGTGTTTCACAAAAATGACGCAGCTATAACGCCAGA